ATATCACGTTTCGAGGGAACTTTATGAAAGATAGTAGAATTGTATATAAGACGTAGTAAGAAATGTACAACTAGAAGATTTATGTTACACGAGGAGGGCTTGCATGGCCCATTAGATGAGTCCGAGAGAGAGAGAGAGAGAGAGGCTCCAGGCCTCCACCCCTGAAGGGGGAGAACGTAAAGAAGCAGAACGAGTAGTAAAGACTCTATGTAGTCAAGACTGAAGGACAGTCTTTGTAATATGTAAATAATGTAAATTATGTATATATATAATAATGTAAATAGACAGGATAGGATGTACCGGGATTGTGATTCATATCTATAATCAACTTTCCCACATCCGATCCCCATAATCCTGACCGAGCGAGGGCTGAACTGACGCAGGAGCAGTGGCAGCCGAAGACAAAGAAAGACAAACAGGGATAGGCACCTGCCACACCGGCAGAGTTAAGTAGCCTAGATACCAACGCCCCTTAAGATATAATGATAAAGTGTATTAATAAAGTATTAAGTCGCTACCTGTAAACTACGGGAGGAGTGGTCAAGGAGCAAGGACTACCTGCCAGGGAGTAGTCCCCACGATTGAAAGGACAGAAAATAGATGGTGGCAGCTTTTACCGAGAAGGAAACCCCGAACAGGAGACTCCTAGCTAAGGGTGAGCTAGGATGATTGTGATAACTCCTTACAGCGCAAGTGACGGTGGAGGCAAGGAAGGATACCTCCACGGCCCCCTACTGGCGGCGTAACAGTGGTGGCAGAGGAGGCTACCTCCACGCCCCCCTGCGCCGTTAGGGCATTACAGAGGCTGAGTCGACTCCAGGGCCATAGTGCGACTGGAAGGATCAGGTCAATTGAAAAATTCAATGACATCGAGAATCGAACCCGCGACCTGCCGGCTTGTAGCATAGAGCCTCAACCAACTACGCCACCGCGTGCCCCATGTAAAAGGAAGATGAAAGTAAATGAACTAGCCAGTGATTTTATTAATGAGGAAGGTACACCTCATGCAGGGCGAATGACTGACGTAAGTTACGGCGGGCGCCCAGCAATTAATGGTTTAATATATTCCGCTGCCTCTAAGGTTACGCGGTGTCACTTGAGCTGACAACAATTCTACACCACACAGCATTCTCTCCACTTCTAATGGTTTCCTATATAGAGAGTGTCTACACTATTCTAGAAGCAATTATCTTCACGCGATCCCCAAAGCTATTCCCCGCCGTCAGATAGTTCGAGTGGCAATCCTGAATCCTCAGCTCCCGCTCTTTGCAGTACGTGTGAAGGTATTTCAGTCACAATGAGAAATGTCGAAAAGGAGAGAGAGAGATGCAGAGATAGAGAAAGAGATATGACACAGTCTACAAGCGGGGACAAGAAGAGGTAAACTGCATCCGCTCTACGAACAAGAGTACGTCATAAGTTGTGTAGGCAACATTACAGAAGAGAAATTCCCGTTTAAATGTGTTTGGATTTTTCACCAGCGTGTGAATAACGTAAGAATGTTAAAAATAGAATCTAATGACTTTCTAGTGATGGCGTAACGGTCTACGTCACTAACTGACGATGACGTACAGTCGTTCCCACAGCGGATGGAGTATATTTAATTGTACTTTTTGGTGTGTAGAAATATAAGAGAATGGAACAGTGAAATTAATTACCCTCTGGCTCTTCTCGTCTGCTGCAATTACTTTTGAATACGTCTGCAACAATTAAACATATACTAGCACAGGTGGCATAATGACAGGTAACATGTTTTGAAAATGTGGCGCAGTTCAGATATTTGGGAACGCAAACGTCTACGTCACTATCTAATGATGACGGAACCTCAAACGTATTTCAGACACAGTTTAGGTTTGTGGTGCGCCATTTTGTTGGATCGAAACCTAATCAAATGTGAGATGATATTACGTGGAGCAACGGAAGCAACTTTTGTATTCTTGTAGAGCAATATTTTTCATTAACTTCTCTTGTCTGCTTGATGAATATACAGATGGCGACGGCCTTCAGATTATCGCTGTAATTAAAAATCACTGTACCGTGTCACACAACTTACAGACTGCATCATCCGATGAATATGAACAGGCCTATAGATCATC